TGCCTAGTGTATTGCCTAGTGTATTGCTTTCTGCAAGATCTTCTAGTTTAGAAACTAGGAGTGAGTGTATGCATTTAAAATTGTACCATACCTTCCTTCAGATGTGACAGACACAAAATTTGCTGTGTTTATTTAAGATTAGTCCTTCAGATCATCTTGCTGTGTTTACTAGTTCACTTTACCAAAAGATAGGGAAATCACTTAAAAGTGTGTAATTTTTGTTCTGCTAAATAAAGAGCAGTGACAGACCTATGATGATCTTTTGTGCTAGTTCTGTCCCATCATATTGTGCTGCTGATTCTCCAGTTTCTCAGTTCTTCCTGCGTTTTTCCTCCTTCATACTGAGATAATTTTATTCATTATATTCTTGATCTTTTTTCCTTCTCAAAAAGGCCATGGCCTTCCTCTGGGACTTGTTGAACTGTCAGGCAGAACAATCTACCTCATGCGTGCTCCACCCCATTCTACTTGGTCTTCATTTTCACAATCAAAAAATAAGGAAATTCTTCATGCTTAGCTAATATTTATAGAATATTTGCAGGGATGATTTTTTTCCTCTTCTGTTTCTTTCTGCCTTTTCAGGAAACTTTATTTTCCCTGCAACTTCTAATTTCTGTATCCTTTCATACTACTTTATTTTATTTGTGTTTTATTTGAAAACAAACAAACAAACACAAAGTACCCTGTGGTAGTGTCTATTTTCATCTGTGTCTTCAGACAACATACATTAAATTTGGGTATTTGGAGAGATATATTTAAGTCTTGGGTGTACTTGCCCAGCAACAAAAGGTGTGTCTGCTCGAACTTGGCAAATCCATGCTACCTTTAATCAGGGTAGGGCACATGAAGAAATATTTGAAGAGACATGTTTATGGATTGCCAGCAAAATTTAGTGACAGAGATCTGTGTGTACTGTACATGAGCCTTCACTGCACATTGGTCTTGTTTACTGTCTTGGCTCTAAGCTTTGCATCTTTTACTCTGAGCAGAATGAGCAGGTAAACAGTTGGAGGATTCCTAGCATGTGTTGCCAGAATCTGCACCTCCATTTCTGACATTACTTGCTTAACATCTCTTCAAGTTTGACTCATACTCATATAGCAAATGGCTGGTATCATAACAGTGTTGCTACTTCTCCTGCTGTTTGCCATTGGTCCTGGGCCAGAATTTGCCACAGGGACTGAAGGTATGAGAGTATATGCAGTCCATAGTTACTTGAATTGGAAACCTATTAGAGAGTTTAAAACTGCTGGTAATGTGGGGTCACCATGCCCTGGGAAATGGCAAAGATGTGTGCACATGCTCTCTTTCAGTGGCTGGGAAAGTGGTAGTTTTCAGTAATAAAATGGCACAGGCTGATTGTGACCACTTCTGAGACCAGATACTGAGACAGAGAAAGCCTTGTTTACCCCTACTGAGGCAGTTGATTACTAATCCCTGTGCTATGTGTGGTGACTGCTCCCATCTAATAAAGAATGTGGCTTTTGCCGTAGTGTATTTACTTTTATAAGTGTGCTGCGGCAAAAGCCATATCCTTTTTGGATAGGAGCAGTCACCATACATAAAACTTTATGGCTTTTGAGTTATCTAAGTGCACGGTTGAGGCATATCTGTATGCTTAGATATCTTATCCATATGTTCTCCCTATGGAATCAATCACCATTAAGTACTTAAAGGCAATCACCTTGACTGTTGGATAATTGTTTCATATAATTTTTTTCCTTAAAAGTTATAACTGTTGTGAAGTCATGTATACCCAATTTCTATTCATACCTATATTTCTTTGGTTTGTTTAAAAATGTGTAGTGTCATGTTTTGGATAAGTGGTATAGCCATTCAAATTACAGACAACGTTGAACTAATGCACAGGAAATCCTTATTACCTGGTCTCTCTTGATCATTAAAGTAACCTCTCTGTGTGTCTATTTGTTTGTAGGAAGTTTAGCATCATACCATGCACCAAATGCTTTAATTAGATTACTTATCTTGGCTGCTGGTGTTTCTTCTTCATTGCTGGTTCAAACAGTAACATGGTGGTCTGGAAACAGTTTACAAAGGTATTTTCTTTTACTGATGGACTTCAACTGATGTTTCTTTACATTAAAAGCTGTTTTGTTTCTTTTTATCCCCCAAATGCCTCACTATTTCAAAAACTGATTCTTACAGGTTCATCAGGATATGGGGCTTCATGCTCGGCAAGATAATGCTCCTTGTTCTTCGTATCTGGTACACATCACTTAATCCAGTCTGGAGCTCACAAGTTGCCAATACTATCATACTGACAATTGGTTTTGTAGCAGCCTTGGAGCAAATTCTTTCAGGTAAGCATATTACAGCAAAGATGGTTGTTAGGAAAATAGCGTAAATATACCTAGCTATGTGTCACTGTGGTTTGATTCTTTGATTTTTTTTTCCTCAACATAGTCTGGTTTAAGACCTACTGCAAGAGCATTGCAGGCTATAGAAGTCATGGGGTACTTTCATCTGCCCGTAATTTGGCAGAACTGGTGTCACAATTCGTACAAGCTGTAGAAAGTTGTTGCTAGAACTGCCTTTTTCCTTATTGCAGTGCCAACAATACGACAGTAACACAAACAAAAGCATAAGATAGACCAATAAAACCAGAATGGATTATTGTCTTTCCAGCATGAAACATTTGTGGTGATTTTGTTGTTATGTTAATTCAATTTGCACTTTGAGTTTCTCTGCCAGTGCATATCTTTTAACAGAGAGGGGGAGACAGGACAAAGTTGGGGAACAGCTGATATGTGAAAAGAAACAGAAAGAACTGGAGGACTGGACAAGTTGTCCTGTTTAAAATTTGCCCAAGTTCTTGGAGTGTTTGTACAGAGTACATAGCAGTGGGGCCAGCATAAGCTGTGGACGTGGTATTGCCAAGGAAGACAGCAAGGCTGGGTTGGTTAATTAAGGCAGCTCATGTTAAATCCTTAGAATCTCCTTCCTTCCTAGTATAACCTTAATGAATTAATTGAAAGATAAAACCTTATCTGTGTGTAAGTGGGTATAAATTAGCATCATGCATATTGTCTGTAAGCTTGCATTACGTGATCTAAATTAAGCTTGAGCTTTCATCAGAATTTAGAAAGGGAATCTGCTGCAGGAGATTAGGAAGGAAATCTGTCTTGTTTATGGGACAAAATGATAGGTCTATGCAATTAAAGGTGCTGCTTTCTCTTTAGATGAGAGAGGTTATAAAGCACATGGATAAAAGGAGAAGGAAAGGAGTTTATTTCTGGCTTATTTGGAAGTGTCAGGTTTTGTTCTTATCAGAGTTTAGAGTTTCAGAGAACAGAAGCCTCTGAACAAATTCCAATAACTTTTCTGCTGATTTTCAAAGCCAATTTAAATATTTAAATTCCAGTATTATGAAAAATAATCAGATGGGCAGGTTGGCATTTCACACTTACGGTGAGTACATTTTCTTGACAGAGCTAGGATTGTTAGTAAAGATTTTTAATTTTTTTGGTGTTATCAATTTCTGATAATACAACCCTAATCAGATAATTTGGCTTTTAAGCATGTAATTTATTCTAGTAAATTTGTGATTTTGGCTATTTCTTTTTCTCAGTAACTCTTGCTAATAGGATTTGACAGTTTGCTTAGCTATTCTATTTCTAGGCGAAAATCATCTTATTTTGATTCTAGGTGGAAACAAGAGGAAACAAGAAACAAACAAAACTGGTAATGTGGTTAGAGAGACTGCTTCCCATCCTCATTGGTTTTTATCAGGGATTGCTTTTGGCAGCCTCATGTTCCTCACTCTGTGGATATTTGGGGAGGTTTCTTTAATTTCTAGATGGGCAGTAAGTGGACATCCACATACAGGTCCAGATCCTAATCCATATGGGTAAGTGCATTATTATTATTATTATTATTATTATTATTATTATTATTATTATTATTATTATTATTATTACAAAATTGTAATCAAAATCCAGTGCTGTAAAACTCAACCCAATGATGGTATAAGAATTTAGACAGAAAAAAATGGATACAGGGTAGTTCACACAGAGGATTAATTCGTCCTTTGAGATATCGCTGAGCATTTTGTCCAGACCTTAAAATTTTCTGATACAAAATTACTTTTATTTCAGCACTAAAATCTTGGTTTGTCACATTTCAAAACAATTTTTCAATTAGGACTGAGGTTCAAGGACTTATGAATGCAGTGCATCTATAACATGCAGTAAATCAGTCTAGCAGTTGGTTTCAGAGAGGAGATGATCAGAGATACATGCACAAAGTATAAATAAACTGTGTGCAATATTAAAAGATATACTTCAGTAGATGTTTTGATTAGTAGGAATGTAGTCTTAATGCTGTGTGTGGTTCATTCCGGTTCCAAATCTAGAAATACACCAGATTAGTTATTCTGAGTCAACTACATGTGATGGCAGGTGACACAGTTTATAATTTGGAATTGGTATACAAAAGATCTCACCAAGACTGACAGCAGTGTTAGATACTGTAGGATTCCTTATTTGACATGAAGAAAATACTTTCGTTTGGGGTGGATTCTTCCTTCTCCTTTTCCCTGAATTGTTTTTGCCTTTTGTACCAAGATTTCAGGGGACTGCTTTTGCTGCTGAACACAGCTCACTTATACATTACAGTAAATGCCATTATTTTTACATCCAATAAAGGGAAGAAAACGTTGCCGGGTATGAGCAAAATTTAGTTTTGTTTAAAGTACAAGAGTTATACAGGACCCTGGTCTGTATATCTAGAAGTTTCTTTTTCAATGCCAAGTGTTTTTAAAATCATATTAGTGCATGTTTTCTTTTTCCTTATTGTTGTATCAGAGGTACAGTTCTGTTGGGCCTTGCTCATGGATTGATGCTTTCATTTTGGAGCTGGTCTTCTGTCATCAGTTTTGCCTTGTTTCTCATAGGTAAGTGCAAATCCTGAGCAGAGTTTTCGTCAAAAAAACCCTTACCCTTAGGGATAAGGTAATCTGTTACCTTATTCTCTACCTGACACCACATCTCAGAAAAGTGTGGCTGATCAAAGCCTCCTTTTCTCTTGCCACTGACTGTAGTACACATTTGTCTAACCAGTTGACTGAAGGTTACAGACCAAATCTCCAGGCCATTGCAGAGCAGTGTTACTGTCTTCAGAAGTCATGTTAAGGTTCTGTTCCCTTGAGCTGCATCTCAGTGTGATCATCTGCATTGTATAACAGTTGGACTTGATGATCATGGAGGTGTTTCCCAGCCTTAGTGATTCTACATTAAGGCCACATCTAGGGTTATGGGGTTGAGATGACAGAAGCCTCTCAATTCCACAGGAGGCAAAATAACTTGTAATTTAGCAAGCAGTCTACTGAAGATAAGCTTGCCTCCTGTCTCTTCATTCGCCAGGCTCTGTAGGCAGTAAAATAGTATGAATAGGCAGGTTTTAGTGTTAAGAAATGTGTGTGCAGATTGTAATGTAAGCATGAGCATTTGATTTTTGATGTACACACATTGCTTATTTAAAACAAGCACAGAAAGGTTCTTTAGTTGATTCCAGCATTGTATTCTGAAATTCTTAGAACTTTGATGTATACGAGTTAAACATTAGAAGTGTTTCTATACATTTGCTTTCATGATGTGACAGTAAATATTCATACCTACAATAATGTTTTAAAATGAGTTTGTCCCATTATAGAGAGGTTCTGTGGTTGTTAATGTTCTGTTTAGGATCAAATCACCATATCAAAGATAGCATGGTAAGTCAAGGATCTTGCAGTTAGTAAAAGATTAATAATTACTTTCTTGCTCATCCTATGGTTATCTACAGGGAAAGATAAGGAAAATATAGGTTTTCTCTTCATATTAATCTATTTGATTCTTTATGTCTTATGGTAAAAAAGATTCATAATTGACAGACCTGTTACTCTCTTAAGAATTGCATCATTCATCTGTTGTGCTGAAAAACTCTAAAAAAAACTGTTCTGTTTTGCCTGTTGATGATGTTTGTCTGCCCTCTTTTTGCTGTACTGTTTTCAGCTGAATAGGTAATGTTTAAAAGAATGAGATATTAGGAAAAATAAAAGACTGTCTTTGGCTACTGTGAATAACTGCCCTTCTAGTGATGCAGTTTTCATGGCTGGAAAGCAGAATTATATTTCCCAGACTCTATTTTTTTTTTTGCAAGCCAGAATACGACAATGAATGTGATAGATGATATACCTGACTGAGACTTACTCTATTCCTTTCTACCCCTTCACAGGTTTGGCATCTTCAGCTGGTCTCCTTTATTTACATACCTGGAGTGCTGCTGTTGCAGGCAACATTCTTGGTCTCTTTACTATGTGTGTGTGGCCTCAACTAGCTGGACACTTTGTCAGCTGTCTGCATCCTGGGAAAGCCATGAGTACAGCCATGTTTGCCTATGTTCTTGAATTATTCTTCTGTGTATGGTGTACAGCTTATAAATTTGTACCTGGAGGAGTTTACCTTAGAGAAAGCTCCCATCTTCTTCTAGGTACATTTGTGGTAATGAACAAATACAAATATGCTTGCTTTAGCCTGAGGCAGACATGTGAAATGTATCTAGTATATAAAGAGTCTTTTCAAATGCTCAGTTACTGTTTACTTGCTTACTGTGGTAAGAATTTCAGTGCAAAAATTAATGAGACATGCAATCTACTTGTTTTTTACTGGTAGAAATAGTCTAAGATGTGGACAGAAAATTGAATTCAGTAAAGGGAAAATGATAAAGTGGAAAAATGTCTGATAACTAAAGCATGCAGTGGAGGAAGAGATCTGTTAATCAATTACCCTAAAAATATGGCTGCAGTCCAGGGTGTGAATGCACAAATATGCTGGCTACCTAAGGTAGCAGTGCCTCAGGTAACAGGGTGCTGCTGGGACTGTAATGTAATTCAGTGCATTATTTAGCATTATTTGCTCTGCAGAGCAAAGTGCAGCATCCTGCTGATCTAGCTAGTTTACATTGGAGACCTGAGCTTCTTTCCCATGTGGCTCTACCTTCTGTTTTGTGGACACACCAGCATATTTGGGGGAATTCAGGTGAGCCTGTAGCATCGTGTGAACCGGACAGGCAGAAAATAAATTGTCAGGTATTTGCAAATAAGGAAGAACTGAGTTGAGCAAATATAAAGGCTTTAGCAAAATGATCACTTGATGAGGGTGGAGAGGTGGAAAGGAAACCAACCCTTCCTGGTTTTGTCTTCAGAACTATTTTCCTAATAGGTTCTAACATGTTTCAATGACATATTTCACTAACTATATTTAAACAATGCCAAACATTGTCTTGGGCTAATTTTGTGGGATGTTTTTTTAAATGTGAAGTATTAGCCTATATTTTATTTGGAAATGAATAATCAGCACTGTGCTTAACTTGTTGCTCCAAAGGTTTCAGATTTCATAGATGTCTTTGCAACCACTTTGTGTCACTCTAGTTTCTTCCTCTCCATGTGTGTTTCTTATATTACAGCATTCACATGAGGGATTTGAGTTCATTATGTTTTGAGGAGAATTTAATTCCATTGTTGCATTATTTCCTTTGTTCTGAAAGCATTCTGAGGAGTCTTTAGAAACAGTTATCTTAGCTAATTAAATTTAATTTTTTGACGTTTTATAAAGGATGCATGTGATAGAGGAATGTCAAATGCTTTCTTGAGTTAAGCTTTCACAAAAGAAATACTTTTATTCAAAATTCCTCTCTGTTACTTCCTTTAAAAAGCACACTTGAGATTCATTTACCTGGCGTGATCACTAGGTAGTAACAGATGGCTCTAATTTTCTCTTTGGTAAAGAAAACTATAAATGGAACACATCTCAGCTGATAGCACTACATGAGTTTAAATTCCATCTGAGAATCCATGTCTTTTTGATTCCATCCCATAGCTTATCAAAGATTATACCATGAGACTGTGTATTTGTTGCTGTTCTTTTACCTTTACAGCTTGGCTTTCTGGCAAACTGCTTGTTTTCTTATGGTTTCTTCCAGGTGCAAGTGCTATTTCTTGCTTTCTTCTCCTGTCCAATATCCTGCCTTTCTCTTGCTGCAGTTTGGGTAGGGAACTGCACCAGGAAAAGTGACAATGAAAGTAAGATCATTATATTCAAAACTTTTGTGCTGCTTCACTCTGATGTGATATAATGCTGAGGGTTCAGATTCCTGATCTTCATCAACTTTAATGGCTGTGAATCTGTCACTCTTTGAGAATGGTTTTGTGTGTTCCCCCTCGTTGTGTTAGACCCTATGTCCTGGTTTGCAAACTTTCATTACAACTAATGTAACAAGTAAGGGAAATAAAAAAGTACTGAGTAATATTTAGCTATTACTCTGAAGTAAAATATAGCTTCTATAATTAATTAACTATGCCACAAAGATATTAAGGGCATATATCTTCTCCAGCAGAGCTGTTATCCAGTTCATTATCCTCCCATGCTTCCTTTGAAAGTAATTGGATTCTTTATCTCATTAGGGATTGGAAAAGACCTTGTACTATTAGTCTGAGCTACTTGTTGAAAAGATACCATCCCCACACATTGCAACAGTTAGTGCACTGAAGTTGCTTACAGCATTTAAAATGTATCTGTAGATGTATTTAGTTCTCTGTTCTTAAAAAGCAGAGCTATTTCTGTTGGCTCTGGAGTTCCAGAATACAAGTTGCTGCCATGTAAAATTGACCTCCTAACCTGCTGCAATCTGCTTACACTGTTTTATAACAAAGTGTTGAGCAATTGCTTTTGTAGTTCCTATATGAAAAATGTGTTACTTGTACCTTGATGACAGAGCAGCTCATTGTTAAAGATAATAGATATGTGCAATCATTAATGTACTTTTTCATCAAGCTGTTATTTTAAGGTTCCATAATATGTAAGTGTAACTCAATTGTTCTGGTCCAGGTTAATTTCAGTAAACTTTGAAAACAGTGGGCCCAGCTGAGAGTTGTAGCCATCAATAGGGCCTGGAAGGATTTTAGCATAATTTATCTGCCATGTGTTAGCCTTTTTGACATAATACCCTGGAACTGTACTGCAAGTCTTTACTTGAGAGCGCTGACAATAAATGTCATAGTTCCTGCATTGCCTCATTAGGTATGGCATTTATCTGCATTTTGCTTTGAAACATCTCTGTTGTTGGAACCATAAGGTTGTGTTGTAACACAACAGCTGGGAGTTTATAAAAGATGTGTTTATGAACAATATTTAATATGTTTAAGGTCTATGAAAAAACGAATTACTTATATTTTTACAGGTTTTATAATGTTATGTATTGGGGTAGACATTCTAACAGGACCCAAGAAAGACTTCAGCTCTGTCTTTGAAGTGAAAAGCAATCAAAAACCATTATTCAAAAGGAGTAAAAACTATATTAAACTATGTAAGTATAATTTTAGTTCCTTTTCTCCATGACTCTAGGAATACTGTCGGAGGAAAGAAAAATAGCACTGTGGAGTATTTGCTCAGATGTTTTAGAAATGCTTTTTTGGTACTAGTTTTAGAAACAGACTGGTAGTTGGTGTTTCCCTAGTTCCAGGTTAATGATGACATATACTTCTGGAGGAGCTGACTCACTGTGATTGTGACTGACAGAGGCTATTCCTGGAATGTGTTAAACAGAGACAAGAAAGTGGGCAAAAAACAAAAAGTGAAAATGGTTTCAGCATCATGGGGGGTTTCATTTCAGTGGTTGAGGAGAAGGCCTCTCTGGATCTTGGGGTTTACACTGTGTGTACAAAAGCCATGAATGATTTCCCAGCAATTCTGAAGTGGTGCAGTGTGACAGCACTGCCAGGGCTGTGTGAGCTGGCTGGCAGTGTGGTGGCACTCGCTGGCTCAGAGCTGCTGTACAGTACAGGGATCCCAGATTTTCAGATTATATGTATGGGGTCTGCTTTTTTCCTTAGGTTTTGAAGGGAAATGAAAATCAAATGTTTGAGATTTTATCACTTTTTGGCTCTTAAACCATACAAATGTTTTCAACTATTTCTCTACAATCATTTGAGTCAGTGATTTGTGTTCATTGTCAGCTGCTGTTTCTAAAGAAAAACATCTGTCAATAGCATGAAGTTTGGTAGAAGAAAAAAATGCTAGGCATGAGGGCATGGTAATCCTACAGAGACCAGGATGCTGGAGATTCCAATTCCTGCATCTTTTCTTCTTTGACTTTGGATCAAATCACTTGCCATTTGTGTCTATTTTGCTGCATTTGGGAAAAGGGGACAATAGTGCTTCACAGTTTTTCAGAGCTGTTTCTGGAATCTTTATCTGTATACTCAGGGGCCAAAAGAATGTGGCCTGTGAGAGTTTGTGTGTCAGAGAAAATGAGCACCATTTCTAGTGTTTTGAATATTACTGCTAAGAAACATTTCACAAAATTAATATTTCAAAATATTACCTGTCACAAAGCACGTCCCTTGCTTAGCTAATCTTGTAATGTTGCAACAGTACCTCTTGTATTTCCTCATCATGCTCAGACTTGTACTGTTTCTCAGCTTCCACCCTAAGCACCTTTGTGTCTTGCAGAGTATGAAATTGCTTGACATGTGGTAATATAAGTAGCACATCCTTCTTTCTGACATCTTCCATCATAAAATGTATTTAAATTTTACACAAAACCCTTCCAGAAAACGTGCATTAAAATAATTTCATATTTTTTAAATATATGAAAGAATAAACTGAAGTTACTGAAATAATTGTAGCTAGCATATACCACTTTGTAAATCAAATAACTACAGAGGGCTTTGATCATCAAATTATATTGTGCTGAATGATGAGAGCTCTTAAGTGCACACTGTGGTTATTTGTAATGCTATAGAAGCAATTAGAAAGTTCTGAATATGTTTCTATGAAGCTGCACTGTCTTTCCAAGATATATTAAATAAATGACCACCCTGTAAGTCTGACAAGAGTCACATCTTTCTGACATCTAAAGGCTTGCAAAGTAAACCAAATTTTGTTCCACACATTCTATTAATACAAGACAAAAATTTTGTACTGCAAATGCATATTTGCACACAGAGAGGAAAACACTGAAGAGTTTACATGGGGCTCTTACTCATGCCCTACAGTGAATTCTTCAGTATGTGTAATTTTTACATAACTACTCCAGGGAGTTTTCATATATTTTATCTGCTCAGCATGTTGTGTTTTGCAGAGTGTGTTTGCACACATATACATATTTTGCATGCATAGATACTGCCTTGATCTGGTGTTGTCACTTAAATGGACACATTTCTCATTCTGTGAATATCACACCTTAGAATAAGTGTCCTGTTTAACAGCAATAATAGCATTATTTTTCTTGAATTAAAACAATTTTTTCTGTGTTTTTCTATTTCAAGTATTGTGGCTGTTTGTTGGTGTTGGTTTGCTTGGATTGGGTTTACGTTATAGAACTTACCAGAAGAAGTTGGGCCAAGGGGTGAGTAGGGTGTTTGTAAGAATGGTAACTTTCAAGTATGCAGTAAAATGTGTGTGTGATAGCTTAGGTGTGTTAATTGTTGCTGAAGAAATCTTTATAACCAAGTATTCAGAAAAACTAATGAATAAATGAAGATGCAAAAATGTAATTTACAAATTCATGTCAAATTGAAATGTCCGGGTCTTTGGAGATTTATAGTGATGCTATGAAGGAAAAAATATTTTGAAAATTTGAGACATTCTTGCCTCATATGTTAAATTTGAACATTACTTAAAAAAATTAGTTTATTTGAACTGTATTCAAACTGGACAATGCTGTTAGTAGCCTGATCCCATGTAGGGGGAGTTTGAACTGGTAACTTCCTGAGATTTCTTCCAGGTGAGGGAATTCTATGGTTCTATATTATATCATAACCCTGAATTGAAGCTCTCTGAAAAGTTCGTTGAAATAGATTATATTTAGACTAGATAGGGAAATTGAATAAAAATTTGAAGATTCCACTTTTCTATCTTGCAAGAAAAGAGGTACTGCAAAGGTAATAAATAACAAGGTGGTTAACACTCGTGGAGTTCAGTGTTAGATTCACAAATGCACACAGATTTATATGGTTGGGCTTCTTTTTTCAATTAATTCAAGTTTGTAGTACCTTATTGTGTTGTAAAAAGTGGTTAGTTCCTCTTAGTAAGATGAAAAAATTGTCTCTTTCCTCTTCATTTGTTTACTCTTACTTGTACAAATTCATTTTAAGTATGATGGCTTTTATTCCCTTGTTAATAGCAGATCTAGTCTTTTGTAATTCTAACAGCTTTATTACAGAGATATATTGGTTAAAACATCTCTTCTTGTATGTCTTTTATGGCACTATGTGTCTGGTGTTGTTTACTGCAAAGCTATAATATGTAAAATTCAAATTTTATTTTAATTTTTTTCCATTTATTTTTTTGAGGTTCCCAAAAGAGATTTCTCTGCTTTGATCTGGCCTTTTAGATTTGGATATGACAATGAAGGATGGTCTAATTTGGAAGGATCAGCTAATTTGCTTAATCAGACAGGTAACTCTTTTTTCCCTACTTCATTTATATTTGGGAGGATTCATTTGAAGAGACAGAAGTGAAAACACATGCTTGGTAACTGAGGCCATTTTTGCATTGACACAAGAACCTGTATTTAGTGGTTTTCTCCCCAGTTTGTGAACTGTTCCAATACAATCACTTCAGTCAAAAATCCATTTGCTGAGGTGATAATTTGTTTAAATTTAAAGAGATTTCTGGTCAGAGGAAACACTTTATTTCTTATTTGGAGTTTTCTTCTCATGCTGCAGATGAGTTACTTGTCTACTGAGATATTCTTTGCATAAATGAAATAATATCCTTTAGATAAAATACAATGGTATGTACAAAAGTAAATATACTTTTATATAAAGTACAATGTTTTGTAACTTCTCTGTGGGTTTTTTTAGATGTGAAACATTATATAATTCCTAAAGGGTGTGAAAATCAAATGCCCTAAACAATGAATACAGAGAAGAAACAGAGAAGTCTGTTTCCATCACTGAACCAGAGCAATGTATGCAAGAAAAGTAATGATTGTAGCTTGGTTATCATGATTTTACTATAAAGAAGAGTGTCTGAACTCTTGCTCATGGGCAGGATTTTGGTTGGAAAATTAGCTATAGGAAATGAAGAATTTGGACTCAAGATGAGTGCTGTTGCAGTGGGCATTGAAAGGAATTGGCCAGTAGTGTTTGTAGGTGTTACTTTTTCCTGTGATACCCATGAGATAGGGTAGACAGGGGACTGACAGTTTGAGATCTAAAGCAGTTCAGGGAATTAGGAAATTTCCAGGCTGCCATTCCAGCATTTGTTGTTCTCCAGTCCACCACAGGATTTTCCTGAGCAGCTCAGGCTTTACAGACCCAAGCAACGAAAAGGCACTGGCAGGTATTCGTACTCTAAGTAAGAATACTTAGTATTCTTCTACATAAGTGATTCCATAGTTCATGTCTGAGTGATTATTTATCTTTGCATATTTATTTATGAATTTTAATGAATAGATTCATTTCTGGTATCTATAGTTTAAATGAATGAATGTTAGAAAAAGTGATTATCTGGTTATGTCCATGGGCATTTCTTTAGGGTAGTGAAATATCACTTCTAAAAAAGACAATTGGTAAGTCAAAAAGGCAGCAAATTCCAAAATATAAATTAATAAATCATAATTTCTAATAGGTGGAAAAGGTATTCTGGAGTTTCATGGAGTTTATATAAAATACTACAGTAACGTTCTCAGTAAATGCATTCAGAGTTCAGCTAGAAATTCCTATAAGAAGAATTCCTGATTTTGAGAGCCACAGAAAAAAGAGTGGCTATCTGCTTTAGGATAGGGGCTGTCTTTAAAGGTGTGGTGGATGTGCGTTCCTTGGGCTCACCTCTCTGTTGGAATAGTGAAGATGCAACATGTAATGGCTTTTGTCACTGGAATTTCTGTCCAGCCCTGGAGGGATCCAACATCAACCCTTCTTAATGGTTTCAGTTACTGTTTCTGTGATCAGCATGTATGCTGCTGATGTAGAAGGAAAAACCTGGGAATCCACTTAACAACTCTGAGCTCTGATTTTTCCTGCTGACAATGCTTTACACTGCTGCATATGATATTTCGAAAGCAAAAAAATCTTCTGTGGTGCTGGATGGTCATAATTCCTTATGGAAGGGCTGGGAATGAAATGGTGACTTGATTTGCCTTCCTGTGTAGGAGAACACTCTAAGAGGGACATAATAGCAGCAAGAAGGGAGCACTTGGAGCACTTGCTGCTGCTGCAGCAGCTGTACTGACCTGCTGCTCAAGATGAGTCTGGTTAGCCATCCTGTGGGCAGCTCGCAGACTTCCCACCTTCCTTCAGGCATGAGCAGCTGTTTCATAGATGCCAGTTCCTCCAGATGCTAGTTCTTCCTGTATCCTGCAGTTAAAATACAGGGGAACCCATCATGTTCCCCTAGCAAAACCACACCTCTGCATGTAAACAGGGAGGGATCACAGTGCTATGAGAAAGTGAGGTGGCTTCAGATGGTCAGCAATTCACTGGAGCTGCAAACCCTGCTGTTACCATGCCTTGGGGCTGATGCAGGGTTACTCTGGACTGAATAATTATTTTGGCTACAGCATCCAGCTGTGTCTTGCATGGCACCCTTTGAAGCACAGTAGGATTTGGGGGATGAAGGGAAGTGCAGATGTGTTATGTAGTGTTTGTTCATCAAATTGAAAGCAGTAGGCTTGCTACTATGTTGTTAACTTGTGTGTGAACAGTATCTCTAATGCTTTTGAAATGTCACTAGGTCTGTGTAGACCAGCTGCATTCTGCAGTCTCATGTATCTCTGGTTATGCACCAGGGATGAGCTATGGCAAGCAGACACTGAGTGCATCTTCATCAGACTTTGTGTGGCCTGCAGTAGCCAAAAGTTTGGGCATGACTTTTTTACCAACACTGGCTTGCCTTGACTGGCCCCTGAAGGCCTTGTGTCCATCCTTCTGTAATCAAAAGGGAAATGATGACATTATGCAGTTATTTATAAGTTCCATTTATAGGTAACAGTTATAAATGTGAAAATATTTTCTTTTTTTCCCTCCCATCTTAGAAGCAGATTTTATCACTATTATAGAGAGTGATGCCTCTAAACCATTCATTGGAAACCATGATCCAACAATGTGGCTAGGAGAAAGACTGGGATTTTATACAGATTTTGGTCCAAGCACAAGAGATCACACTTGGGGGTGAGTTATCTTTACATGCACAGAGACAGAAATAGATGTAAATCTATTGCCCAATACAAACTGCACTAATACAGAAGCAAGGAATAGTTGGAATAGTAATCACTATAATCACTTGTTGAAGCTTGTGCTTTAGGAACAGGCTTTGATTCATTAGCATTACCATGCAATGTGGATGGAGTTTTCTCATTGCTAAACATGATCAGATTTTGGTGCCCGCCCCTGTAAGCTGCATAGATTTTGGTGATGCAGAGAATTAATCTAATGATTTGGAAGTTTAGCATTCCAAGTACTGTATTTGATGCTCTTTTCACATTATTTTGTTTTGGGCTATGAGAATTTTGTATTTCAGATTTAAAAACATGATAGCAGTTGGAAAATGTAGCGCATCAGGAGATACAAGAAATTTTGAATTCATTAAATCTAGCTTGGGCTGTATAATGGGAAATGGGAATAGAACAGTACATATCTGTTTGACCAGATATTTTGTGTTTAATTTTACCTTAATGCTTGATGATCTACCAGTTGCATATCTTTAAATATCTTTGTCCTCTGGAAAAATACTGGCATATGATGTGGCTTTTTTTTCAGGGGCATATACACATCTGTGGAGGCCCACACACTTCTCTATGGCAGATGGAACTTCCTGTGATGTTGCAATGGCTATTTAATTTTTGCCATATGTGAGGGGCATTTAGTAACTTCCTTCTTCCAGACCCAGTCTATTTGAGGCAGAATGGGGCTGAGATTTTATTAATGAAATACATTGAAAAACCTGATGTGAAATATCCAAACAGAAGCTGAAAAAAGAGAAATCTCCCATTTTAAAGATGTATTTCTAGCTACTTCTACTTTTAATAAAATACCTTTTAATTTCTGTTAGTATAAAATTCTTTTTTGTCTGAAATACTGATAATTAAAAGCTCAGTGAAAGAATTCATATTTATGGAATGATATTTCTTAGTGTAGGAATTAACTTGATAATATATTTTTAGACATGTAGTTAAGCAGTATTTTAGAGAGAAACTTTCTATATTCAGGAAAATCCACTAAGGATGATTTGTATTCTGGTCTACAGTTTTTTTCAGTGACTGCTAGTCTTCTGCTCACATTTATCTACTTAGTCACACCTTTGATGCTTGTGAACCATGTGATGCTTGAAAAATGTAACTTTTTGTCTCTTCTCATGTAGGATTATGGCACTATCCAGGTATCCAATTGTAAAATCGACCCATCACCTCCTTCCATCTCCAGAGGGAGAGATTGCACCTGCCATCTCCTTGACTGTCAACTTCACAGGGAAGCTGGTTGATTTTGTTGTCGCTCACTTCGGAAATGAAGAGTGTGTATTTTTACTTATTTTTACATAGAGTGTACAAAGTCATGTAATGTAATTTGTGAAATTCTAATTTTCTTTTGTACCCTTTAAAATCTACTGCTGTAATACTCGTTCTAGCAGGGTACATTTGAAGAAATATTATGATAGTTTAAAATTGGTTAAACTATTGGTTTAAAATTTTGAAGCATTTTTTAAAGTAAGGAAAATGTGTCATGCAAAACTCAGCTGAATTTAGAGATTTAAATATACAGTTTTGAAAAATCACAACAAATGATAGGGCTACAGGTGCATCTCAGTGCAGGATAGCATCCTTCTGACTTTTTGCATGTGGAATAGACATATTAAATTCCACAATGAGTGCAGATAGGTACAGTTAGAGATAGAGAGCATTAATGGAAAAATGTTATTTTTAAAAAAAATTAGTAACAATTCCAAAACCCCCAAGAAAGAACAATGTTGAAACAGCAACAAAATTATCTGTCAGTGTCCTTCTGAGAGTATGCAAGTGGAAATTCGAAGTCTGATCTCTGAATTCAGAAAAGCAATATTATAGCAATAAACCAAGTAAGTGATGGAAAAGAATAAGGTATATATTTCAGTTCTTGAAGACAATGTTTCGATTACTTGTGTGTAATGAATATTAATAAGAGACAGTTTTGTGAATGCTCCACGTAGCTGTAATTTCTATTATATTTGATGGGATTCTTGTATGTTTGTGGCTATGTAGTAAGATTTGGAATTTAAAAAAAATTGTTACAATTTATGAAGAGGCAAATTTATGGATAGGGTGCAGAATATTACAACACAAAGAAACTGCTCAGAAAGCCATAGGAATTCTCTGTATCCCGTTTCCTTCCCCTGAGTAGAAACTACACCAAACCTGCAAATTGTTTATAGATTTCCCATTTATTAAACAAATACAGTTGTCAGAAATCACTCCCCATTTTAACTCTAGAAAGGAATTTAATTCTGTGCCTCACACAGATGATTAGACTTGCCTGTCTGAGAAACTGTTTGTCAAAGTAGAAGAAAATAACACTGTATTATGCCCTTGCAAAGAAATGAGATAAAGACAAAGGAGAAAATATGAAGAGACACATGGGAAATGAGTGCAAATTAGATTGTGTTTTAGAAGGGAATTAATTTGTAACTAAATACTGCACATAACTGCTAATTTTTAATATTTTTCTCCTGCTGCTTAGGTTGACATAGACTATAGAATACTGAATAACTAGGGTTGTTTTTAAATATGATTTATAAAATGTGGGACTCAAACTATGCCTGTGCCTTTAAAAGATCCCATCTTCTGGAGAGGTGCATTCTGGAAAGAGCAGCTAGCTGAGCAGGCAACTTGACATACACCTAGATCAGTCTTCTCCTCAAGTGTTTGGAGTTTTTTCTGTCCCCTGTCTGTGTGCTCTTTCTCCCTAATACAGTTGCTTCAGTCAGAAGTACCACTATTTAGAAAATATAGCTGAACTTAAATTGTTGTCTTCTTTGGGGTTTACAGGTTCCGATTTAATTTTTCTCTGTCAATGTTATTTAATCCAGACTTCCAAAATCTAGAACACAACATGATTTACACAACTGTTTAAAGTCAGTATCATGAAGAATCATAGAAAGAGAACTGCTCTTGAATTATTTTATGATAAATCCTGGGACAGGGAATGGGATCCAATGAAGTATTTTATCAGGCTCCACTTACGCTATCACTTTTGGTCATGTTGGAACTCTTGTGTAAATCTTGTTAAAGAGATTTGAAATACATGCCAAATGTAATTAAGCAATGCTAATGGGATGACGTAACTCTAGTTACATTTCATAAATGATGGGACCCAGACTTTACGACTTTATTTACTGTGATATATGCATAATAAATTTCTTTTAGCATGTAAGTTCTGTGTTATGCACCACATTGTGCTAGCTCAGTTAGTGCAAGCACAGACAAAGCCTTAGATAACCAAAACACTAACATTCACATTTCTTAGTCATGGTATCAGTATTAAAAACAAAACAGTAGTAGAAAATGTTGTTCCTGTAATGGATAGAAAAAGAACGTGAATTACGTCTACCATGACCATATGACTTTTATCAAATGGAGTGATAATTTTGAATCAATGAGCTTTCTGTGAACTTTCATACTCTCTAATACTGAGCAACAAAAATGGTACCAGATTGATTTGTGGTTTACTATGTCATAGCACAAAGTGAGCTAAAATGCATATGTCTTAAAGTCTTTTCCATTTCTTTCAGAGAGGACTTGGACAGAAAACTCCAAGCAATAGCTGTTTCAAACCTATTGAAGACTAGCTCTAAACAAGTTGTATTTCTAGGATACATCACTTCAGCTCCTGGATCCAGAGACTATACTGAATTAATAACAAATGGAAATGTGCAGGTAACATAAAAGTACTGCATCTTTAGAGAAAATCTATATTGGAAACACCCAGCTTAATACTTCAAATTGGTTACTTAAATATAGACAGAGAAGAAAACACATGCCCATTTTCAAATACAATCTTTATCTACTTCAAGATATCTTGCAGAGAAGGTGGAGTTACACAGTGAAAGAACAAGAGGCAATGGACAGCAGCTGCCCCAAGGGAAATGTCAGTTAAAAGAAATAAAAAGTTTCAGGGTTGTCAAGGATTAGAACAGGGGTCTGGTGAAGTTGTGAAACTTTCATCCTTGGACATATTCAAAAATTAGCTGCATAAGGCCCTGAGCAACCTGCCTGAAGTGGCTTTAGCCACGGTTAGGAATAGATGACCTCTAGACAGCCTCCAAATTCAGTTATTCTTTTGTTTTAAAAATTAGCTCTGTATTAAGAGCTACCAAAAAAGTTGTCTGATTTGCCCATGTCTAACAGTGAGCTTTTTTCTTTCTACCTTATTACAATGTTTCAGGCAAAATATTTTTCTGCCGTGAGTTTACACATTGGTCCTGTTACTGATTTAAAGCATACCCAGATAAACACTTACCTTATTTGACTTTTTTTCCTTTTCACTTCTAGGATATTGACAGTACAGATCGGGACAGATGGTGTAGCTATATTATGTATCGTGGACTAATAAGGTATGTTAAAGTGAATCATTTAGTTGTAGGTTGAAGTATCTTTATGGTTATTAGTTTTATGATCTTTTGTAAGTGATTGTGGAAGAGTCTTACATCCCTAAACAATTATTATGGGCAGTTGGATCTCTCATAACATTATGCGAAACATTGATCTCAGCTTCACAAGAACCGGTGTATCTCTGAATATAATTTGTAAGGGTGCTATTACAGGTTTCATCATTCTGTGTCAAAAGCCTTCAGATCTACTCTGTTTTGGTAACATAAAACTACATTTTTCCAAAGCTCTGGCTTTGCAACTTCATTCTAAAATGTGGAGCCTAAGACCTACTATGTATGTAACACAGAAGATAGAAATTTTGAACTATCATTTAGGTTTTGTTGAAGCAAAATGCTGATCTAATCCAGCAAATCTTTATGCTGGATTTAGTGGAAACTTGAACTGTGTAAGCCATATTGAGGCACAGGACCTATGCACTCCATATCTTTTAATACCAAATTGCTTTTAAATCATTCTCTTGGTGATGTTCAGACTGGAATGGAATTCAGCTTATTCTGAATAAACTATGCAAATTCTGTCATGTTCACAAGTCGTAAACTTGATAGCTGTCTTAACAGTATTGAGCAAAAAAGAAAAAAGGCAACTAAAAAAAAACTCAACTAAAACACTATTTGCAATTTGAATTTTTCTCATTATTCATTCAATTGATGCTTGAGTTTCTTTCTTGAATATTGAAATCTCTTCAATGAAAATTTGGTGAGCTTATACCTGCACTGATATTCTAAAGCTGTAATTTTTAAAAAATGTTTTTAGACACAGAACTTATTTTTACTGCCAAACACTTATGGTTTTTCAGTTTTTATGCTTGTGACATGGTGTTATGATCCTGTTTATGGAGAACTTTCAGTTTTTTGAAGGTAAGGTTCACAGAAATGAAAATTGTATTGATAAGTTAAAGCATAACTCTTGGAAAAAAAGATAAATTCATTAAGAATGTGGTGAAATTGTCTTGAGTTATTTCTTCAAACTCACTCTTCTCATATTTGATAGGCTGGGTTATGCCCGCATATCTCATGCTGGTTTAAGTGATTCAGAAGTCCAGATGGCCAAATTTAGAATCCCAGATCACGTGGATAGCTATGTTGACAATGACAGAATTGTCACTGATCCCAGCCAAGTTCCCAAGGACATCCATTTCAACCCCAGGTGAGTAGGTCTCACAGGAAATGAAGGGGATGATGTACCTGGTGTCTTGTAAAAGAGAAGTGTAGGAGCAAAATGATTTCTAAAGTGAGAGGCACTGATCAGTACCTAATTGAGCAGAGGAGTAGGAGTCAAGAACTTCTGATTTGTAATTCCATTTTTTCGATTGATTTAGCATGTACCCTGGGAAAATCAGTCTGTTGTGTCACAGCATAAATTGCAAGTAATGCTCATTTCACCCAGGCAGTTTCTGAGATTGTTTGATAGGGATATTTGCCAAGTGGCGTGGTGACTCATTTGATAGATGATTGAAGATCTCCCATGTTTCTCAGCACTTCAGAGATTGGGGTCTTAATATACTGTTACTTAGAATATCGAATACAATATATACATTAAATACTTTTTTGCATAATCATTTTGAAACATACCATATAATTGTAGCAAAAATTAAAGAGAATGCCTGAGGCAGTATGTTGCACGTGTCAAGAAGGGGGAAAAAAGGACTAGGTTTAGTGTAAAAGAGTTATTTCTAAATTGCTGTCATTTTCCCACTGGTATTGCATAAAGAAGAGATATATGGAGAAAGATTTTTATTGTAGTATTAATATCAGTGAAAGAATCATGAAGTTTGTGATAGATGTTGCCACAGAGAGATAATTCCCAGTAATGCCATGTTTACTACTCCTAACATGCATAATGCAGAATATATAACTTTCTCATATACATTTAACAGTTGAGCTTACTCACTTTTTATGTACCACTCAGCCACTGGCTTCCTGTCTAAGCAGGAGTTTGCCCAGACTTTTCCACATGATGGAACTTGCCTACAGTTAGCATTCACATTGAGATTTTTCTCAGTTGACTTCAGTACAGAATCTTGTCCTAATTTCTTTTGTCTGCCTATAATCATAAAATGTTTACCATATTGTAATAGATTTAACTTTTTCTGATTAACTCTACTTCTTTCGAAATATAATGGCACTGCTCTTAAATATTACTTAGCACTGATATTTTGAATAAGTACTCCATTTTACTTTTGTAAGTCTGTCTACCATAACAGTCAGTTGTCAAAACGTTCATATTTAAATTTGGCATGAAAAATTACAATTTTCAAAAGCAAGATGTACAATATTAATAACAGGGTTGACTGTTTTGATACTGTAGGTGCTTAAATTGTATCTCCACTTGAAATCAGGACTAAAGACTTCACTTAAAATTTAAGTAGAAAAATGTAACACTTAGCTTTTTCAGCTGGGGTTCCAATTATAGACTGCCTATAGCATCAGTAGAATCAATGTAATTAATTGTCTCCTCTACACTCAAAGACCTTTAGTAGGAGAGAGTAAATAGAACCTGATTTACATTTAATAGAGTTGGGACCTGTTTCTGAAATAAATTGCCTAGCACATTCAGAAGTAGGGTAGTAATTGTATGGTATAATTGCATGGGTTAAATAATGTTGTAATAGTATTGCTCTGTTGAATATTTTTCTTAGGTTTGGATCTTACAAAGATGGACACAATTATGTGCCTATTCATCGCTTTCATATGAGCACTCCTAAATATTTTAAACGGATGAATTAGAGCAAGAAAATAAAATATTATTGAGACCATCAAGAAAGGTTTGTTGCTTGAAAATGAATTTGCAGCCAAAAAAAAAACCACCACTGTTTAAGGATGAGCAACTCCCATTCTGCACAACACTGTGAGTGTCTATGTAATAGTTGGTGACTTTCTTCTTTAATGAGCTGCCATCACTGTTAGGGAGGGAAGATGCATGCATTTTGAAAAACTGGTATCTACCTTGGCCAGATACCTGCTTTGTATGCAACAAAGCAAGGGTGGGAACTTGCTTTGGCAACAACTTCTTCAGCTTTTGTGGAGGTATCATATACCATGAAGTTTCAGAATGCTATTGCTGTTATTACAATAAAAAGCTTGGCCTTAGGTTTTTCAAAATAGGAATGGAACCAGTGTATTTTTAATTGGGAGATATGCAGTATGTGTTTGAAGTGTGTGCATTTCCGACTCTAACAGTATTTACATGTGCTGTTGTTCTACAGTTCTACATTTTATTCTTAAATGAGTTTTACAATAATTTGCAGATAATTGATATTCATAATACTGGAGAAAAAGAGGTGACTTTTATAGACTTAGTTTTATTAACTGGACATTAGACACTTCAGTGCTTTTACAAAGGCAAGGGTAGAGTGCCTCTGAATAATGATGGTTATGAGATACCTACATGAACATACTGACGAAGAATTAAAAACAGTTATGCTTAACATAATAAGGTTTCTGAGAAGGGAGAAAAGTTGGTTTTAACTTTTATTTAAAGTTAACCATAATAAAGGTGGTGGGAGGGAAGCTTTGTTTCTTCTGTTTCTTGTTTCTACACTTCAGTAGGACTAAATAGAGGTGTTGATTTTTTGACCTAGGCAGTGAATTCCCTGTTATGCAATGCAACACAATGTAAAATGTTGTGTCTTCTTAGGGTCTCTTGGCAATGTCTTTAATATTTAGCTCCTGATCCTTCAGTATATGTGCAGAGCTTCCCTTTAACAATGAGGACATCTTCAGTGTTGTCCAAAGGATGTTTCCTGCTTATGAGAAACTTGTTAGATAATTCAAGTGATGCACTCGGTTTGGAAACCACATTTGTGTTGTTGGTATTTAATACTGTGTGTCTTTCCAGTAATATCTAAGCATACCATAACTGAAAGGAATAGAATATTTTGCAGGAAAGAGGGTGTTTTTTTTTCTCCCTCTAATTCTTCAGCATATACTTTTAAGAACAGCTTGAGCATAACTCAATTTTATTGTTTCTCTATGTAATCAAATACAGGATGTGTTTTTACCCAGGGTTTCTTGTTCTATAGAGTCAGGTAATTGCTGCCAGCACCACATTTGTCACTTTATTCTGGTCACCTCATTTTGCTCCCTTGTTTTTAGAGCTATATTTCTGAGAGTGAAAATGATCACTGGACAGAAGATATCTGAAAGGCATTTAAAAGTCTCAGTGGTTATGTATTCATCATCCCAGATGTAACTGACAGTTAACCAGCCATTGTTGAACTAATTTCTCACCTATGGGTGCTTTGTGTGCCTTTACAAGCCCTCTGAACTTGTTCTTAGTGTGCTCTCCAGCAAGACAGGATAAACTGTGGAGTGATACAAATTATTTTCTTGCACTTTTAGCAGTTTTCTTCTGCAAACTCCAGTAGTCCTGGTCTCTTTCTCCCAGCTTGCAAAAGCAGCTGGCACTGGCACCAACGTTGCACAGTGCTCTGAGTATCCTCATTTATTTTCAGCACGCTCTCATGCTAGCTCTGATGCACATCCAGCCACAGGTTTGCCTTTTTATAGTCTATAGAACACAGAACATTATCTTGCCACATTACTTAACATTCTCCACAGGCTGTCTTTGCAAATACCTTGTAATGTGAGCGGTTTATTAATGTGAAATGCAAGAAATGAGACATATAAGTACAAAAAGCTTGAAAACTCTTAGTTTTTTAACAATTAAAAAATAGGATGAGGATATTTTTCAAGAAGCCTGACAACATAACATGACTTGCATAACAGATCAGTTTATAAATCATATCTGTATATAATCTTCAAAGTCTCTGAGCATACTTTAATTGATTTTTTACAGGATTTAGACATGCTCACCCCATTAGGAAAGTTCATGTTGACAGTGAAAAAATCTAAAGTTTGAATATGCTCTTCTTCTAAGTAGCTCGTGTAATTTAATGTACGTAATTAGTAGCTAATATTTGTTGACATTTGCATTATTTTATCAGAATGGTTAAGAAAAAGCATGACCAGAAACTGTTTGTATACTTCTACTGTTGTGGTTAGAATTGGGAAACTAAAACCAAACTTTATTTGTCCTTACATCTACACACTGATCTAATCCCTGATATCTAAGTGGTTTAGAAAAATGTGCTTTATATATCTAAGTCACAACCACTGTTTCAAACTATGACAGAAATGTGCTAGAACAGGTCCTGCTGCAGGGGTGTGTGACTAATCTTTTAGTTTTCTAATCATATTCATCTCAGCTTTCATAAGAAAGTATGTTATGAAAGAAACAGTTTGTGGATATCTTTATGCATTCAGAGATGGCATGCAAAAAAAAAACTATAACTAAAGCAGTGTTTACTAAAGGTTTGAACTTTTACTTGTGGTAAAAAGGTCTAGATGATGTGTATCTGACTTTTAAATAATATGTGTTCTGTTGTACTCCAAATCCCATCCTCTGAAATTCTGTGCAGATCAATTGAAGTTTGTAAGAATATACAAGAAGAGACAGCAGTACATCAGGGGCCTACCGGTGTGTATCTTGGAATAAGAAAAGAACTCCAGGTAACATATATGAGAACAACTACTGAGAGTAATTGTACTGGATTCTTCAGCAGGGTGGAGACTCCAGTCTCCTGTATATATATATATATTCCTGCCTTGACCCAGGCACAGTCACTCTGCTGTTGTTACAGAGCACTCCAAAATCTGGTAGCTGCAGTTCAAACCTCTTGGGCTAAGAAAAAACCTGAAATTGTTATTTGCCATTTTCAAAAACAGTGTTGCAGCTACAAGCTGAGCAGAAGTTGGACACACCCTTTGGTTTTGAACCAGCGTTGATGTTATTGAAACAAGTTGTTGCAGCTTAAGTGTACAGATAACCAGTTCCCACCTGTCTCACTGAAACACACAACACTGAGGATGTTCATGGTCCTCTGCTGATAGTGAGGGAGCTTTGTGACCCCAGAGAGAAGTGCTGGCTGTTTTGATGCACCCCCAGGGTTCAGGAAGAAATTCTTAGGTGCTCTCAAGCTTGAATGCTCATGATGAAGGAAGAGAATGTAAAATTTTAAACTGAAGCTGAAAAAGCCCTGTAACTGGAATGTAAGAATTTAAGTAACAGCCCTGAAACATGATTTTTCTCGCGTATGTAAAATGACATTTGTTTGCAGGATGTTACAGAAGGACCTTTGGGCCAAAATAATATATCCGTGGAGCAAGTGTTAGAGGGCAGACCTTTTCACTTCAACAGGGAACAAAGTATGGGTCTATGGGAAGGGAAGATTAAAATGACCTGAACTGTTTAATGAGTAGTGCTTTGAAGCAGTTCGTGTAATCTGCAGCTGCTGCTTTCTGCCACTTGAGGTCCTCTTGTGTCCCTAATTAGAACAGTTTGCTGATGCCAAGCGGGAATAACTCACAGGTGTTAGTTTTTTTCATTGTAACTCTGAGGGTGAAAAATCTTTTCAGATGCATTGGACAAAGCTGTGTTGACTTGGGTATCATTTATCTTTTCATATCTGCAAATGATTTAGAACTGTGATTACTAGACTTCTTGTAGACACTGCTTATTTTCTTACAATACCCTGCACTGTGCTTTGTTGCTGCTTTATCTGCTTTCTTAATGTTCAGCAAATTCTTCTTTGTAATGTTTTTCTTTTCAATAAAATTTTCTTCCTTCTCTGACTTGGAAAACACATCACAGCTTGTGATTCTGGTGCCTAAAATTAACTTTCAAGTTTGTTTCTAAGCAAAGCAGGATGAATAAAAGTATTAAAGAGATACAATGGCCTTAGCAATCTGGAGTCTGATATCCTTTGGAAATAGAGTTTCCTTTCGGAAATTCTTTCTCAAAGACACATCTGCACTGTTTCTGATAGTGAAGAAGATACAACTAAGTAAATGGCTCCTCCTTCTCATGTTATCCAGTATTTTTCACAGTCTACAATTAAGTTTTTTATGTGGTTGCCATTTTAGCTATCAATTAAAAAAAGCAATGCAAACATTAAAAAAGCAAAGAATAGCAGTCTTTCTTCAGAAAAAAAGAAAAAAATCTGAAGTTTCAAGTTTGATCTAACAGTGTGTAAACTGGCAGATACATTTACTGCCACTCTCCACTTCCATGGTTTGTTATTCCTCTCCTATGCACTGATGGGAGCACTTGCATATATGTGTAATAAGCCAGATCTGGCTATTTAGCTAGCTGGGAAAACAAACTAACTAACTAAACTAAAAGAAGTTTGAGGGGTTTGTTTTGTTTGGGATTTTTTGCTTTTTAGGAGCATTGAGGCCAGCCTTGCACTTTGACCTACCTTGCTATTTAGCTGTACAAGTGATTGCACTGGCACAAGAGAGTTAGTATTAAGGCACTAATGGTGGAACTGCCTAAGCTGTCTCTGTTCATGTGGTGGTTCCACCCTGGCTAGATGCCAACCAAAGCCATTTTACCACTCCCCTGTGCAACTGGACAGGGGAAAGAAAATATAATGAAAGACTTGTGGGTTGAGATAAGAACAGGGAGAGATCACTCACTAGTTAGTATCTTGGGCAAAACAGACTTGGGGAAATAAGTGGAATTTATTGCCAATCAAAATCAGGGCAGGACAACGAGAAGTAAAATCTTAGGAGCACCTTTTCCCTGCCCCTCCCTTCTTCGGAGCTTAACTTTATTCTCAATTTTCTTCTTCTCCCACACAGTGGCTCAAGGAGATGAGGAATTTGGGTTATGGTCAGTTCATCATGTGTTGTTTCTGCAGCTGCTACCTCCTCAGGGAGAGGAGTTCTTCAGCTGCTCCAGGGTGGGGTCTCTCCCAAGAGAGACAGTCCTACACAAACCTGGGTTCTTCATGCCACTCTT